CCACGTATATTTGTGTAGCATTAAAGCAAGATAGGCCCTTCAAGCCCTTCAAGCTATGTCTGACTCTGTAAGGAAGAAAATTAAGAATTAGTTCGAGAATTAGTACTGTTCAGGTCATAGTTTTCAGTCACGTGACTGGTTCGAAGAGAAGACCTGGAGGGCAAAACATCCATAACTGCAGCACAAGCCTGTCAATTGTCCATATCTGTCCAATCCACAAACATTTAGGTCACCTCTCAAAAGAATAAAACAAGGATTTATGAACAAAATGCAAGTTTTGGCCATTTATAATCCATATAAAGAACCCACCGCAATATTTCAATCACTAAAACCAGTGTGACATTATAAAAACGTTAAATTTAAAGTGCCTTATTAAAATAGTGATATTAAAAGATCTAATTCAGTACAAATTTTAGTGATACATACGCTATACAGGCAAGCAGATGAGCACGGAATATGAACGCAGTGTTTTCTATGGGAAAACATTCAATGGGAAACTTGGGTTTATATTCTGGGTTCATCCACTTGCCTATACAAAGACACATAAATAATAGTACACTAGGGGTGCTCCGATCAGGGTTTTGGAGGCCGATCACAGAAAGCAGTATCTGCCGATACCGATCACCAATACAGATACAGCCTTCTTTTTATAATTTATAACTATTTATAGTGATACTCCAATCAGGATTTTTAGACATTTATTCAGGGCCTGAATTTCATTTTTGTAAATGGGGGGGAATTCCTCTCTTAGGTGTCTCTTGTGAGAGAAGCAGCTTTCACACAGCAGTCCGCTACTGATCCGTGTTTAGCACAAACACAACATTTATCCATTATATTGATTTCAAATCCAAACATCGTCACTGAAAATGCTTTTTCAGCATTGCAATTCTTTTTTTTTGTTTTACACAATACAATCTTTCATAGACATGTTTAAACACATTAAATATAAGCAACACATTATTCAATGCTTTTTACTTTTGCATTTACTTCTAGATCTGCTGCAGACGCACAGCTCCTGAACGCACCGCCGGACCGCAACCGTGTGCAGTGAACACATTAATCCGTTAACATGAGCGCCGAAAAATACACACCGCATACGCACTGCAAACAGAGTAATGTGAACCTAGCGTTATGTGTGTGTGCTGCGAGTGTGCATGAGCGCACAGTCTCCAGGAGAGCGCTGAATGATTAAACACTGGTAAGAATTAAAAAGTATTGCAATTTATAAACTTTAGTGACGATGCAACACTGCCTCGATTGTACAAGTGACAATTCCTGTGTCAACTGTGCAACTTTTTTTTAGATCGGCCTTTTAGAGACCGCCGATCAACCATCCCAACGTGATTATCGGCCGATCGTGATCGGTAGCCGATCAATCGGAGCACCCCTATAATACACCTAAAATGTAAAAACACAATCTACTCCACTTTGCTGCAGCGCTGCAGTTTTAATTTTGTTCTTTTAATTCAGCTGCGAGGTCGTGCTGTGACGCATCGATCTGCTGTTGGTCACACGGCTTCACGTGATGTGAATCAATTCACAGGTCAGATTCAACGTGAATGTTACTAAAGGAAAACAGTGATCATAATCATGGTGAGGATGTGTAGTTTGAAAAGGATGTAATATACTGGTTAATAGGGCTGTCAAAAAAATGTTGAATTTCGAATATTCGTCAAATTTAATATAAAAATCCACATTAGAATGCAAAAACGTTGAATTCGAATTTTAGGTGTGTGTCAGGCAGCTTTATCAGTGGTGCACGAGATGCGATGACGATGTAGGTATCATAGCATTTTAATGCTTTTTTTTAGCCTATCCAGCTGAACCCACTAGATGCAGCGCTGCTACGCTGTTCATTCAAAATATTGCGGAAAAAGAGAACATCAATGTGGAGAAGATGTTTACATCAAAATGGAAACCAAGCAGTTTATTTATTTATTTATCGCATTTTCTAGAGGGACATCTAACACCGTTGCACTCGCGTCTCACACAAGATAGCTGCATGTTTAGAAAGCCATGGAAAATTAAGTTCAACTTTTAAAAAAACCTATCTCGAGGCTTTATGGCATTTTTTTTTTCCACCCACAGCATCTCATGTTTTTAAATGAAAAAAGTACTCTGTGATTGGTTTTCGGTCCTTTGTATTAAACTATACATACATTAGGGCTGTACGATTAATCGAATGCGATTGTCATGTGCATCTCGTCTGTAAAGCGGTTCTGTGATCAGTAGTAAATCTCCATCATGTGCTTTCAGATGGAGCAGCATTTACTACACAGAGCTGTAGTTCACTGACAAGCTACGCAAAAAAATCTCAGACGATATTATGCGATTATGAAATTGAAGAAATCGTTCGTGATAATGACAGCTGTTTGCGTAGCTTCTCAGTGAACTCTGTGTAGTAAATGTTGCTCCCTCTGAAAGCAGGTGAAAATACACATTTAAAGGTGGGGTAAGCAATTTCTGGTAGCCAATGTTGACATTTGAAATCACCAAAACAAACACGCCCCTACCCCAAAAGGGTATTGCCCCTATTTTGATAGCTCCGCCCCACACATACGTACGCAACCCAGGCAAACCTTGTTTAAGCGACATACACCGGTATAGCGGTATTTAAAAAATTAATATCATAACAAAAATAAACATATTCGGTATGAACCGGCATACCGCCCAGCACTACCCCTTACTGCTGATTGGCTACAAGTTTGTTTTACTACTCGGCCCGAATCAGTTCTCTAAAGCGTTTTTGAACAATCGCTTACCCCATCTTTAATAACATGTTTTTACTCAACTCACTTCATAACGTCAGTTGAGTGTTTGAAATAAATCCTTCTGTGAGATGATGTGGCTTCTTACACAGAATAAGGCACACAACATATTTCATAGTATTCTAAGCAGTGATAAAGACATTGCATTATAAATATTTTATTATAATGAAAATTATAATAAGAACTCCGATAAACCATATGTTGTCATAGTCGTGTGTCTATTAGTCACGTTGAATCAATGAAAGCAGTTAAATCTTCTGTTTATTCAGCTAGCGCTATAGGGTTTTCCTGGGTTTCTTCTGCGGGGTGTTATTTGGAGTTTCTCTGGCCTTCCGATGTTGATTTACTGCTGATCACAGAACCGTGCTTCACTGAAAGATACGCATGGAGTTTCTCTGGCCTTCGGATGTTGATTTACTGCTGATCACAGAAATCTAAAACAAAAAATCTCTCAACTAATGCTGTAAAATATACATGAGAGTCCGTTGGTACCACATTACTATAATACTGAAGGTTAAAATTGACTGATTTGATAAAATTACACTTAATGAAGTTTTTAAAATAACGGTTACAATTATATAATAATATTTCTACTTATGTTGAAATATAAACATAATAGTGGCTGTCATAAACTTGATGGATTTATTCAAACGTAAATTAAACATTGAAGAACAGTAAAATTTATAATGAATATGTTACATGGTGCATATATTTAGCAAAATGCCCCTCTCGACAGTTTTTTTTTCTATCTGACTAATGAGTTTATGGTCACCGAATATGTTTTTCTGAGGTAAATGTTTTGTTTATTTTGTTTTGTTTATTTCCTTTATTTGTTCAGGGACAACGCACAACAACAGTGTTGTGCCAGAGTTAGCTATAAAGCTAATTTGCATCTGCAGTCCCTGGGCAGGATGTTGTTAAAAAATTACAATATTAAGTCACAAACAATACAATACATACAATATCACATCATACTACATTAAATTACAAAGCCACGTCAATGATCACATATTTGATTTTCCTTAAGCCATACTTTAAGCTCAGTTTTAAAAATACTAAATGTTGTACACTCTCTAATATAAACAGGTATTAAATTCCATCTTTCTGCTGCTATAACTGAAAAAGCTGATTGTCCAAAAACAGATTTTCACAGCTTGTTTATAAAAGTATATAATGGTTTTAACGTAGTTATACTTGTATGTGACGTTACGTTATAGTGACGTCTTTGCGCGGCTGAAACACTGATTGAGCGATTACATGAGAGTGCTGGGCGGTATGATCAAAAATTTATATCACTGTATTTTTGTAAATTATACCGGTTTCACGGTACATGACGGTATTTTTTTTAACGGGTGTTAACCATATTCTCTACTGATTGAGAGAGGAAATACTGCAACTGTTAAACTGAGGCGCTACAGCAATCTGTCACTCCACATTAAACGGCACCAAAACAGCATTTATTGTTTGAATACTGCAATACAATGGACAGAAGAATTATATGAAACCCGAGACTTTGTTTCATATTAAAAGTACCAAAGCACAATGCTTATTGCGATATATTGGATGGGAAGTGCCCTTCAACGTTCCGTCCATTAACTGAAAACAGGCTAGAATAATCGATTCTTGAGATTTAAGAATCGATATCGTTCCGTAAAAATGAGAATCGATTAATATCGAGATATCTATATTTTTTACCCAGCCCTAAAAATGACATGTTTAGGGCCCTATGAAATGTTTTATGTTTTCTCATCATATTTATTATTGTTACCAAATTCTGTGTTTTAGCATGTCTAATTATTTGAACGCATAAAACAACTTAATTTATTCATTATTTTTCTTAAAGTAGCCTTATGAATTTTTTTTTTTTTCCTCAGAAATTCTGTGTTGTGTATTTACATTTTTCTGGTTATCAAATGAAGGCATAACACATTAATTTAAATTATCTTTTAAGTAATGAAAATTAAACAAATAAAATTTTTTTGCAAACAAAGGGGATTTATACTATTAAAATAAAAACATGGAAGAAATATCATGTGATTATTCCTTAAAAAACAAAGTAGTAGTAGTATTACATACATTCTACTGCTTTTTCTGCATTGCGGAAATCATATATATATATTTAGTTTGACATATTAGGAGCTGTGACTCGCAAAAGAGTTGCTATTTGAATTAATAACTCATATTTGTTAAAAATAATACAATTCGCTTTTTTTTTTTTAAATAATGATTAAGATGGGTACACACTCGTGGACTATGTTTATTTTGTGCTGAAACTGGTATTAATGTGGAGGAGACGATCAGTTCATGACTGTTAAACTGAGGCGCTACAGCAATCTGTCACTCCACATTAAACGGCACCAAAACAGCATTTATTGTTTGAATACTGCAATACAATGGACAGAATTTGAAACCCGAGACTTTGTTTCATATTAAAAGTACCAAAGCACAATGCTTATTGCGATATATTGGATGGGAAGTGCCCTTCAACGTTCCGTCCATTAACTGAAAACAGGCTAGAATAATCGATTCTTGAGATTTAAGAATCGATATCGTTCCGTAAAAATGAGAATCGATTAATATCGAGATATCTATATTTTTTACCCAGCCCTAAAAATGACATGTTTAGGGCCCTATGAAATGTTTTATGTTTTCTCATCATATTTATTATTGTTACCAAATTCTGTGTTTTAGCATGTCTAATTATTTGAACGCATAAAACAACTTAATTTATTCATTATTTTTCTTAAAGTAGCCTTATGAATTTTTTTTTTTTTCCTCAGAAATTCTGTGTTGTGTATTTACATTTTTCTGGTTATCAAATGAAGGCATAACACATTAATATAACCTATTTTGAATCATTTAAAGCTGTAATCTGAGCTGTTTGTAATTGTCGTGCTCTCTCTTTTGCTGCTCTAGAGCATTCTGGGCCCACGAAGGTGGTGAAGGTGGGAAACGCGAGAGTGAGACGCGGCGGGAAGGTGAGTGACGTTCATCTGAGTCTGCAGCAGACACATTTAGCAGATTAACAGACTAAAATGACTGAAGAAAATCCTCAGCACGACTGAGACCTGTTTTACACACTTGTGAAAGTAGCACAGACGCCCCTAAATAATAATGGGCTTCAGCTTTAATGCTGCATGCAGAGCAGGAGCCTCACAAACGCAGCACTGAGAGACTGAGAGTCCAGATGATTAATACAGTTATATTCATGAACGTTTAGATATATATTATAAATTAGATCTCAAAATGGGGTCCGTGACCCACAGTCAGGGGTCAGTGAAACACAGACAGAATCAAGTCAAAATGTAATTTAGTGCATAACACAGAATGTCAAGAAATTTGGCATGTTTTGGATAAATCGAAAGTTGGTCAGTGCACTTAACCAAATCTTGGTATGGACTCGTGTCTGTGAATAATAAACCGCAAAAAACTGCTAGTGAAATATGAATCTGCGTGTGTCTTTGTGAATAAATGGAGCAAATATTACTAGAATGTACCTCATCAAAGTAATACTTTTATTATTATTATTGTTATTATTGCTAAGCAAAACTTTATTTTTAAAGAAATAATCTCACTTTACAGTACAGCACTTTGTTTGCCAGAATTGTTACATTTTGATTTGATTACGTTTTAAAAGATTGTTAATGTTTTATGCCTTCATTTGATTACCACCATTTTTTATAATAAATGTGTATTAAATTATAAATTCTCAAAAATTCAAACCGATGACAACAGAATTTTTGAAGAAAATAAAATGTTTCATATGGCCATATTATTGTAAAAAGTTTAATAAAAATATGAAGTTTGAGTTTTTATAAATTCAGTTTATTAGACATGCTTTTAGATTAATTTAATTTAAACGTTAAAATGGAATCAAAAATGGAAAACACTGAATTTGAGAACGATAAAACAGAATTTGAAAAAAAATAAAACCGATTTCATATAGCCCTAAAAAAAATTTTTTTTTGTTGAACATTTGATAAATTCTTGTTTAAATTGTATACATTTTGATTTCAAATAATTAGACATGCTTTTTGATTTAATTTAACCATTAAAACAGAGTTCAGAAAAATTCTAATGGAAAAAAATAAATTGTATACATTTTGATTTCAAATAATTAGACATGCTTTTTGATTTATTTTAACCATTAAAACAGAGTTCAGAAAAATTCTAATGGAAAAAAAGTAATCCAGAAAAATTTTAATTAAAAAAATAAAATAAATAAAAATGTTCCAATGGCATCTCAAAAAACAAATTGTAGTAAGTATATGCTGAATCTCTGTTATAATTATAAGGGGGTCCTTGGAAGATTTTCTCCCGTGTAAAGGGTCCCTGGCCCCAAAAGGTTTGAGAACCCCTGAATTAGTTTTGGAGATGATAGATTTGATTGGGCAGCCGTAGGAAACGACAGGAGTGGCTGTGTGTTTTACAGAAGTGCTGTGAATGAGAGTCTGCTCTTTTGATTAGCGTTCACACTGTTTTTGAAGGTGGGGGATTTTGGAGATGCAAACAACTGGCCGACACCTGGAGAGATCGCTACGAAGGAAGTCCAGGTACGACAGCGTCAGAAATCTTCAATCTCAACCATAATCCCATATGATTTTCTGTCTGAATGCATATACGGCTTTGATGGACTCTGGAAGTAAAGAAACTCTCCGGTAGAGATGGGTTCCTTTAATGCAGAGCTTATCTAGCAGGGTTCCCACGCATCCTGGAGAACCTGGAAAATCGAAAGATTGCCGCTGTATAATCCATACTAAAGCCTGGCTCACACTACAGGATTTTTAGCCCGATTTAGCCCCGATTTCCCCCTCCCGAGAATCGGAGCAAAAATCTTGTCGAGCCCCTCGATCGCTCCCGATGTTCGGCGCGGATTATCTGGTAATGTGAGGCGTTCACAGATCGAATCTTGCACCTCCCGATCTGCTCACACACAAATCGGGACCGCCATGTTTGATATTTAGGATTGAAATCGGGATGATGATGCCTATATGATTACGTCAGTACTTTCACAATAGCCAATGCGCGACCGCAAAACAGCGACTGTACGGCTCCGTTGGATAGTGGAGACGGAGGAAACTGCTTCTTGACGTTTTGTAGTAACACGACTGTCTGTATAATGTGTCGAAAACGTATCACAACCGTTAAGCGCTGGCGTGAAATCGCCTCCGTTTTGAACGTACAGCGGTGAGTGCAGAAAGCTGCTAGCAGGCTAGCTAACATGTACACATCACTGAAATATCAATGACGATCTGCTGCGTGAGATCACGTGAGGCGCTCCCTCTGGCATGATAATCTTAATAATATCTTGTAGTGTGTGATAGGGGTCGACCGATTATCGGCCTGGCCGATTATCGGCGCCGATATTAAGCATTTTTATGATTATCAGTATCGGTCATTTTCAAAACCGATTCGCCGATAAAATAACTTAATTTTGAAACGCGCTATTTGCTCTGATGCAGCCTGTCTGAACTCACCACTCTGTGGCCTAAAGTTCACCTCATATTAGGAAGGCTAATTTTTGATCAGAATTTTTGATTATTGATCAGAAAGTGCTCCTTTCATTTTTTTTTAATTAGGAGGACAAGCGCTCTTGATTACAAGAAGGAAAACACTGCTCTTAAACTTGGGTGTGTGACGAATTTAAGTGTATGGCTGAGGAATGGGATTTGGCCGAGGAAACATTTTCAGTCAAAATATTTGTTTTTTTGCTTTAACCCCTGACTACTACAACAATTATTACAACTTTTGTTTAAAAGAATAATCACACAATACGCTATTTCTTCCATGTTTTAATTTTAATGGTAAAACCT